ATTTGTTCCCAAAAAATTCTCAGACATGCCACTACGCAAATCTTATGCCATTAGCAACCCTTACATGCAATCCATACGGCTTTTTATTTATTCTTTGAGTGAAAAGTATGTGAAAAAGTATGTTGTTTTATTTTCAGTCACAATTGTGACCGATGAGAACAAGCAGTGCTCTGCCTATAATTAACAATCATTTACGCCTATTCCCCAGCCCCAACATGTATATATACCTCAGCCCAATTACTCACACCCCATCCCTGTTACCCCAATGCCCTAGCCCCAACACCCACATGCCAATACCCCAATATTGATACAATCAAGTCCCGATACACCCATATGCTAGCCCCATTAGCCCTATTTGTTACCCATAGACTCTAGTTCCTTTGCCAAAACACCTCAGCCCTGTTAGTTGCCTATCTTAGCCCTGATACCCAGTTGTCAAGGTATTCCAAGTCACCAACATTTACCTATATCCAGCTATCCCCTGCACACATAGCTACTGTAAACAGCATTACATAGCTTTCTACCTTACGAAATATAGCTTCAAAGGTTGTTGGACCGCAGCTTTTAGCACTACCAAGGGACTCGTGACTCGACTTGGGACTTGAGTATAAAGGACTCGGAATTAGACTTGAATGCTAGGCACTCGGGACTCAACTTGAGGTTTAGTGACTTGACTACATCACTGCCAGAAAGGATATGAAGGGGCTATAGACGTCCATTTAGACCCATTACCTGAATGAGCCTGGTACAGCTTTACATCCTATAACTCATATTCACCAGATAAATTCATGGGCATAAAGCTTGATACTCATATAAAGCAGGTCTACCCCAGTGTCCAAGCCTGAACATTCATACAAACCATGCATGTATACACCTGCACTTCAGCCCTAATATACCCATATGAACCAGGTTAACACCTGTGTGCTGTGGCCATGTCCAATACTCTAATTGAAACAGGTCTGCCCATGTAACTATTTAGCAAAACTCACATCAATCAGGTCTACCCTTGTTCAAGAGACACTGAACAAAGCTATTGACATCAACTATGTGTTATGTTATTACACTACAGGTAGTTGAGTTTAGGGATCTATACATCGCCAATTCCTCCTGAAATAACCAAATTAAACGGTTTACAGTAAATATTGCTGATTTAAGCATATGTTAAGGATAATGTATCAAGTATCCATAACCAAACAATTGTAATCTACTGAAAAAAGTATATGCTATGATTAAATTAATATAATAGGTTAGAGCCACTGTATTGTCCCATTGGTCACAATTGGGAACGCAAAAATATTTTCATATACCACAAGCATCATGAATTCAATGTATTGAATATGAAAGCACATATGTAAACTAGACCCTTTAAACATTATGTTTACAAAGAAAATAATTTAAAATGTCAACAATGTATAGTTTTTTTAAGCTGTTGAATGTAGACTTCTGGTGCAAAATCTGTCTGTAAAAGACAATTTTGAAGAAATCATATGAAACTTCTCTAAATGACACTAGACACCTTGATAATGCATAAAGTACATACGTTTTGTGCGGTGACACATGGGATTAAATGGGTTAATGACAACAATAATACGCAAAGTGCTGGCACTGGCAGCAAATTAGCTTGTTATTTAATTAATCTTCCACAATGAACATGTTTTATACGTTTTTAATTGAGGTCCGACATGTGAGGACCATACTTAATTTTTTTAATTGACCCCTTTTTCTCCCCAATTGGTAATTACAGTCTTGTCCCATCGCTGCAACTCCCCTACGGACTCGGCAGAGGTGAAGGTCGAGAGCCATGCGTCCTCCAAAACACGACCCTGCCAAGCCGCACTGCTTCTTGACACACTGCTTGCTTAACCCGGAAGCCAGCCGCACCAATGTGTCAGAGGAAACACTGTTCGGCTGGCGACTGAAGTCAGCTTGTAGGCGCCTGGCCCATCACAAGGAGCGCGATGGGACAAGGGCTCTGGCTCTGGGAGTGTGGTGCCAGGAAAATAACCTCTCACTCAACGTCAACAAAACAAAGGAGTTGATTGTGGACTTCAGGAAACAGCAGAGGGTGCACCCCCCTATCCACATCGACGGGACCGCAGTGGAGAAGGTGGAAAGCTTCAAGCTCCTTGGCGTACACATCACTGACAAACTAAAATGGTCCACCCACGCAGACAGTGTGGTGAAGAAGGCGCAACAGAGCCTCTTCAACCTTAGGAGGCTGAAGAAATTTGGCTTGGCACCTAAAACCCTCTCAAACTTTTACAGACGCACATTTGAGAGCATCCTGTTGGGCTGTATCACCGCCTGGTACGGCAACTGCACCGCCCACAACCGACATCAACCACCCGAGCCACTGCCTGTTTACCCCGCTATCATCCAGAAGGCGAGGTCAGTACAGGTGCATCAAAGCCGGGACCGAGAGAATGAAAAACAGCTTCTATCTCAAGGCCATCAGACTGTTAAATAGCCATCACTAGCACATTAGAGGCTGCTGCTGCCTATTGAAATCACTGGCCACTTTAAGAAATGGAACACTAGTCACTTTAATAATGTTTACATTTTACATTTTTAGTCATTTAGCAGATGCTCTTATCCAGAGCGACTTACAGTTAGTGAGTGCCTACATTATTTTTTAATTAATTAATTTTTTACATATCTTGCACTACTCATCTCATGTATATACTGTATTCTATAATATTCTTCTGTATCTTAGTCCATGCCGCTCTGTCATTGCTTGTCCATACAGTGGCGAAAACAAGTATTTAGTCAGCCACCAATTGTGCAAGTTCTCCCACTTAAAAAGATGAGAGGCGCCTGTAATTTTCATCATAGGTACACGTCAACTATGACAGACAAAATGAGATTTTTTTTTTAAAAAAATCACATTGTAGGATTTTTAATGATTTTATTTGCAGATTATGGTGGAAAATAAGTATTTGGTCACCTACAAAAGTTATAGACGTGCACCAGGCTGGGAAGACTGAATCTGCAATAGGTAAGCAGCTTGGTTTGAAGAAATCAACTGTGGGAGCAATTATTAGGAAATGGAAGACATACAAGACCACTGATAATCTCCCTCGATCTGGGGCTCCACGCAAGATCTCACCCCGTGGGGTCAAAATGATCACAAGAACGGTGAGCAAAAATCCCAGAACCACACGGGGGGACCTAGTGAATGACCTGCAGAGAGCTGGGACCAAAGTAACAAAGCCTACCATCAGTAACACACTACGCCGCCAGGGACTCAAATCCTGCAGTGCCAGACGTGTCCCCCTGCTTAAGCCAGTACATGTCCAGGCCCGTCTGAAGTTTGCTAGAGTGCATTTGGATGATCCAGAAGAGGATTGGGAGAATGTCATGTGGTCAGATGAAACCAAAATAGAACTTTTTGGTAAAAACTCAACTCGTCGTTTTTGGAGGACAAAGAATGCTGAATTGCATCCAAAGAACACCATACCTACTGTGAAGCATGGGGGTGGAAACATCATGCTTTGGGGCTGTTTTTCTGCAAAGGGACCAGGACGACTGATCTGTGTAAAGGAAAGAATGAATGGGGCCATGTATCGTGAGATTTTGAGTGAAAACCTCCTTCCATCAGCAAGGGCATTGAAGATGAAACGTGGCTGGGTCTTTCAGCATGACAATGATCCCAAACACACCGCCGGGCAACGAAGGAGTGGCTTCCTAAGAAGCATTTCAAGGTCCTGGAGTGGCCTAGCCAGTCTCCAGATCTCAACCCCATAGAAAATCTTTGGAGGGAGTTGAAAGTCCTTGTTGCCCAGCGACAGCCCCAAAACATCACTGCTCTAGAGGAGATCTGCATGGAGGAATGGGCCAAAATACCAGCAACAGTGTGTGAAAACTTACAGAAAACATTTGACCTGTGTCATTGCCAACAAAGGGTATATAACAAAGTATTGAGAAACTTTTGTTATTGACCAAATACTTATTTTCCACCATAATTTGCAAAAAAATTGTGATTTTCTGGATTTTCTTTCCTCATTTTGTCTGTCATAGTTGACGTGTACCTATGATGAAAATTACAGGCCTCTCTCATCTTTTTAAGTGGGAGAACTTGCACAATTGGTGGCTGACTAAATACTTTTTTCCCCCACTGTATATGTATATATTCTTAAATTCCATTCCTTACTAGATTTGTGTGTATTGGGTATATGTTGTGAAATTGTTAGATATTACTTGTTAGATATTTATGCACTGTCGGCGCTAGAAGCATAAGCATTTCGCTACACCCGCAATAACATCTGCTAAACACGTGTATGTGACAAATAAAATTTGATTTGAAACCACGGCCGGCAAAACTCTCCCCTAACCCGTATGACGCTGGGCCAATTGTGCGCCGCCTCACCTCAGGTGTAAACCTTTTGGAAGAAAAATGCTAGGTGTTAGCTTTTCTCATTAGAAAACGTCACAATAAGCCACCTGGCTACAAGTCACTTTTTTAAATGATTTTTTTCCCGATTTCCATTTATTACTGGTTTTTCAACCTCTAACGGAAGGAAGATTAATCAAAGTCTGAATCCCATGTCATCATCAGATCCCTCTTTCTCTTCTGCAGCAGACCCAGCTGCAGCAGCATCAGCCACAGCACCACCTGCTGACACAAAGGCCAATTTAGAGAGACCCGAGTTCATGACTTCAACTCATTGACAACCTTGTCTAGGTGCTCATCTTCGGCCTCGATTTCTACACTCCCCAAAATGGTCTTGATATCCTTGGAGGGGCTGGTGTTACCACCGAGCACAGCCAGGAGGTAAGCGGACACGTAACGCATTTTTAAGTCTTAACAGATACGAAACGTCAGTCACGCTGAATTTTCCGGAAGGTATCCAGTGTAGTGATAGGCTTTATCGCAATGCTACATCATATCGGCCAAATTTCTGCCTACTTAAATGGCAATAGCGCAGACACACATGAAAACATGAAATTACACAGGGAATTTATAGAACATCACTCAAATGCACAAAAACAAAATAACATTCAAAATGGGTGAATCTTTACTTTAAGGTAGATATACTTTATTCATTAATTTACATAATCTATACAGTTCAAGAAGTGGACAAATGTGGATCTTATTTCCTTATTCACAATCAAGATCCACATAAAAATAGCAACAACTATAAATATTGAGGGTTGGTGTGATGACAACATTATTATTCCTCAGAAGAACAATGGCGAAATGGGGATAATGACTGTTTCAGTCTGTTTGTTTTGAATGGACAGATGGGCTTTTCTTTTGCCTTTTAAAATCACAGGTGAAAAACTGTTGGAAGGGTTTAGATCTCGTCAACAAAGGGCGTCTTGACGAGGTTTCCACTGGAAGCCATGGACTTCTTGCCCGACACAAACTTATTTGCAGCCTGAGAGAAGAAGGAAAACACATCTAAGCACAAAAACAAACAAACTATGAAACACTCCAAATATACTGTGCACGTCCAGAGTGATCTGCAGCAAAGACAGTAATATAGAAATATATTAACTTCCGCTCAAATTTTAACTTAGTGACCAATTGACATCAATGCATGACTAAGTGAAAATGTAACTTCAGTGGAAGTTAATATTCGCCCAAAACTGAATAAACTTACGTTGGCGACATCCGTTGCTGAGACTGAGTCGATCTTCTGTGCGACGGCCTCGGGGGAGTGGTAGGCCCCTCCGGACAGAGCTTGTGAACCCAGGGCGTCTAACAAGCCCTCTGAGCTCTCCAACGACATCAGGTACTCAGCCTTCAGCTGGGTCCTACAGGGGTAAAGAAACAGACAAAACTTAAGTCAACATGTTCAAATTCTTTTCTCGATTATATCTATTCAAATTCTATACTGAAGTATATACAGTACCAGTCAAAAGTTTGGACACACCTACTCATTCAAGGGTTTTTCTTTATTTTTACTATTTTCTACATTGTAAAATAATAATGAAAACATCAAAACTATGAAATAACACATATGGAATCATGTAGGAACTAAAAAAGTGTTAAACAAATCAAAATATATTTTATATTTGAGATTCTTCAAAGTAGCCACCCTTTGCCTTGATGACAGCTTTGCACACTCTTGGCATTCTCTCAACCAGCTTCACCTGGAATGCTTTTCCAACAGTCTTGAAGGAGTTCCCACACATGTTGAGCACTTGTTGGCTGCTTTTCCTTCACTCTGTGGTCAAACTCATCCAAAACCATTTCAATTGGGTTGAGGTCGGGTGATTATGGAGGCCAGGTAATCTGATGCAGCACTCCATCACTCTCCTTGGTCAAATAGCCCTTACACAGCCTGGAGGTGTGTTAGGTCATTGTCCTGTTGAAAACAAATGATAGTCCCACTAAGTGCAAACCAGATGGGATGGCATATCGCTGCAGAATGCTGTGGTAGCCATGCTGGTTAAGTGTGCCTTGAATTCTAAATAAATCACAGACAGTGTTACCAGCAAAGCACCCCCACACCATCACACCACCTCCTCCATGCTTCACGGTGGGAACCACACATGCGGAGATCATCCGTTCACCTACTCTGCGTCTCACAAGGACACGGTGGTTGTAACCAAAAATCTCAAATTTGGACTCATCAGGCCAAAGGACAGATTTCCACTGGTCTAATGTCCATTGCTTGTGTTTCTTGGCCCAAGCAAGTCTCTTCTTATTATTGCTGTCCTTTAGTAGTGGTTTCTTTGCAGCAATTTGACCACGAAGGCCTTTTCCAGATTGACTGACCTTCACGTCTTAAAGTAATGATGGACTGTTGTTTCTCTTTGCTTTTTTGAGCTGTTCTTGCCATAATATGGACTTGGTCTTTTACCAAATAGGGCTATCTTCTGTATACCATCCCTACCTTGTTACAACACTGATTGGCTCAAATGCACTAAGAAGGAAAGAAATTCCATAAATTAACTTTTAACAAGGCACAACCTGTTAATTGAAATCAATTCCAGGTGAGTACCTCATGACGTTGGGTGAGAGAATGCCAAGAGTGTGCAAAGCTGTCATCAAGGCAAAGGATGGCTACTTTGAAGAATCTCAAATATAAAATATATTTTGATTTGTTTTCCCACCGTAAAGCATGGAGGAGGTGGTGTTGTGCTTTGCTGGTGACACTGTCTGTGATTTATTTACAATTCAAGGCACACTTAATCAGCATGGCTACCACAGCATTCTTCAGCGATACATCATCCCATCTGGTTTGGGCTTAGTGGGACTATCGTTTGTTTTTCAACAGGACAATGACCCAACACACCTCCAGGCTGTGTAAGGGCTATTTTACCAAGAAGGTGAGTGATGGAGTGCTGCATCAGATGACCTGGCCTCCACAATCACCCGACTTCAACCAAATTGAGATGGTTTAGGATGAGTTGGACCGCAGAGTGAAGGAAAAGCAGCCAACAAGTGGTCAGCATGTGGGAACTCCTTCAAGACTGTTGGAAAAGCATTCCAGGTGAAGCTGGTTGAGAGAATACCAAGAGTGTGCAAAGCAGTCATCAAGGCAATGTGTGGCTACTTTGAAGAATCTCAAATATAAAATATATTTTGATTTCTTTAACACTTTTTTGGTTCCTACATGATTCCATATGTGTCATTTAAAAATTGTCATAGTAAAAATAAAGAAAAACCCTGGAATGAGTCTGTGTGTCCAAACTTTTGTGCCTTAGACCGCTGCGCCACTCGGGAGGCCTATACTCAAGTTTCTAAGTCTGTGTGTATGTTAGCTTACTTGGCGCGGGTCAGATCAGCTTCTGAGACCCCCCCTGCAACAGCATTCACCTGGCCAATAGCTGCCTTGATCACCTGGAGAGAGGAGGACAGGGATAGGTCAATCAATTAATCAATGGGAGGTCAAAGATAATCTTCATTATGCTCTTTCCTCATCCTAAATGAATGATCTTACATTACATTCTACGTAAAAGCAACTATCACTCACAGGGTTCATAGGACTACTCAGCAACTGCTTCAGAAAGCAGTTTGAATTAAGCTTTATTAATTCTTATAAAATGTACCTTATTAGAAAGCAGTGGAAATTTAAGAGACATCATACTCACGTCACCAGCTGCTGCAGACTGGGAGATAGTGTAGACTCCAAACAGGCCAGAGTCAGAGTAGTTGACATTGAAAGCAGAGGCCTAAAAGGAGGGGACACCAGAGGAGAATGACATTAGTTTGACAAGTAACTCTAACACAACAATATTACATTTTGCATGACACAATACAATATCTATTCTGCACAAAACACTTCTATCCAAAGATTCCTCCATATATTGCATTCCCATCCTGTATAAAGGCCAGCTATGAAAACACAAACACAATCCGATCTGGTGATTATGTCACTCACATCGAAGGGGTCTCCAGTAGCCTTAGCGACACCCTGGATGAGTTTGGAGGTGGAGTTGGAGCCTCTCTTGATGTGTGGCCCCGCCCCCAGGACGTGCTGTAGTACAGAGAAGGCCATGACCTCGTCTGTGCCAACCGCCGCCCCCTCAGACACCACCGCAGAGTGCACCAGGCTGGACCCATTCTGCACCCGCACCTCGCCTAGAGAGAGAGAGAGAGAGAGAGACGCAGGGAGAGAAAGAGAGAGAGGGGAGAGAGAAAGGCGGCGAGAAACTATTAGAATTTAGGGAATTTTCCATGCCAGAGGAAAATTAGGTTTCATGCTCTTCTAGCAGATACAGTGGTCATCTCAGCCCCTCTGGAATAAGAGTCTTACCGCCTCGGTACTGAGCCTTTGTCCCAGCAGTGCCCATCCCACTGCGGATGTTGAGGAACTGCTCTCCCACCTGCTTCAGAAGACCGTGGTCCACACCTGAACACATAGAATGCATGTGAGAATACAATAATATATATACATTTTTTATCCCCTTAACACACAGCTACCTGGATCAAGTAATTTGATTAAAAAATGGTTTTATTATATATACACGTTTAACACTTACCAAGCCCAACCAGAGCCATTCTTGCACTTGTGAAATTGTTCTGGATAAAACTGTGCATCTGGAGAGGCAAACATCAGAGGGTTAGTCAAAAACTCAACCGTAATGCTGTACTTCGTGAAGTAGAGCATGCTGGGTTGTGCATCAGGAGAGGAAGATGAACGTCCATAGCATTAGTCCAAACTCAATGATAGTGCAGGGACCAGGATGTTGAGTGTCTTACATGGTCAGCGTCGACTTGGCCAACCATGTAGTCTGGGCAGTAGAGGGAGTTGGACAGCGTGTTCTTGTAAGCAGCTCCATGTAGACCCTCAATCACACCTGAGGAAAAGAACCGCAAGGCACTTCAGCCGCAGTGTGATGACAATTTGCAATCTTTTGACATTTAGCATAATGTAATCTAGAGCCGTTAACAGAAAGTATATTCAAATAAAGAAACTGAAACAACCACATAACTGTGTGTGTGTGCTAACCCATTTGGGGGGTCTGTGCAGCCAGGGCCTTGTCCATCTTGACCCTGGGGGTGAGGTCAGACACCTCCCACGGCCTGAACTCTGGGGCTGTGGTCACATTGATCAGGTACTCCATCACTGTGTCACTGCATTAGACAACACACAGAAATTAGAATAACGATGATTTATTCACCATATAGTTTAGATCCATGTTTGTGTACACATATGTATACGTGAGGCAAGCAACACTTACATGTGGTCTCTGAGACAGTCAACCGAGTAGATCATGTTCTCTCTGGACGACGTCACGCTGCACAGAAAATACACACCCACAGATACACTAATGACCAAAAGTATGTGGACACCTGCTCGTCGAACATCTCATCCCAAAATCATTGGCATTAATATGAAGTTGGTCCCCCCTTTGCTGCTATAACAGCCTCCACTCTTCTGGGAAGGCTTTCCACTAAATGTTGGAACATTGCTGCAGGGACTTGCTTCCATTCAGCCACAAGAGCATTAGTGAGGTCGGGCGCTGATATTGGGTGATTAGGCCTGGCTCGCAGTCGGTGTTCCAATTCATCCCAAAGGTGTTCGATAGGGTTGAGGTCAGGGCTCTGTACAGGCCAGTCTAGTTCTTCCACACAGACCTCATCAAACCATTTCTGTATGAATCTTGCTTTGTGCAAGAGGCATTGTCATGCTGAAACAGGAAAGGGCCTTCCCCAAACTGTTGCCACAAAGTTGGAAGCACAGAATCGTCTAGAATGTCATTGTATGCTGTAGCGTTAAGATTTCCCTTCACTAGAACTAAGGGGTCTAGCCCAAACCATGAAAAACAGCCCGAGATCATTATTCCTCCTCCACCAAACTTTACAGTTGGCACTATGCATTGTGGCAGTTAGCGTTCTCCTGGCATCCGCCAAAGTCAGATTTGTCCGTCGGACTGCCAGATGGTGAAGCGTGATTCATCACTCCAGAGAACGCGTTTCCACTGACGCTTGGCATTGCGCATGGTGATCTTAGACTTGTGTGCGGCCACTCGGCCATGGAAACCCATTTCATGAAGCTCCCGACGAACAGTTATTGTGCTTACGTTGCTTCCAGAGGAAGTTTGGAACTCGGTAGTGAGTGTTGCAATCGAGGACAGACGGTTATTTGCGCGCTGCTCGCTTCAGCACTCGGCGGTTGTTGCTCCTAGACGTTTACACTTACAGTTGACCAGGGCAGCACTAGCAGGGCAGACATATTACGAACTGACTTGTTGGAAAGGTGGCATCCTATGACGGTGCCACGTTGAAAGTCACTGAGCTCTTCAGTAAGACCATTCTACTGCCAATGTTTGTCTGTGGAGATTGCATGGCGGTGTGCTCGATTTTATACAACTGTCAGCAACGGGTGTGGCTGAAATATCAGAATCCACTAATTTGAAGGGATGTCCACATACTTTTGTATATATAGTGTAAGTATGTCATCCATGGCAGTGGTAGTCAGTCAGAAAATATGCTAAAGTATTCTCTGGTACTTTTGTATACTTTTTAGCCAGTAGTTGTGAAAGTAGCACTCACGAGCCAAAAGTCACATACATATTGTTCTCTCTCTCTCTGCCGTGTCCATGGAGACGTCTGGCCCGTCCTGCAACCTCATTGGATAATGCTGGGAAGGCCTCTTGCTAGCTGTCACTCAAATGCAAGGGGCTGAAGATCATTAGCTAGAACTCAAATTGCTAGAGGGCTGGTTCACTTGGGGGGAAATGTAGGGAAAATGGCATGGCACAGCTTCAAGAAAACAGCCACTTTCAAACTAGGGATTTCGTGGCTAATTGAGGTAAGACAGTAATTCTTCTCAGATGATGCATACATGAACTACACATTGACACACCCAGCCCAAAGCTGGAGGCTTAAAAAAAAAGACTGTTAGTTGCCAAAGTAACATGTCTTTAAGTATCCCAAACAATATATATGTGTAGTCCTTTTTATGTTTGTATGAGGATGTACACTAATTCACAGACACTGACCCTAGACTGCCTCCAACTGCCTCTACACCACGACAGATCCTGAAGGCTGAAGCACCTTTGGTAGTCTGGAAAAGAGCAGCAGAGATTGGGATTAACCACATTACAAATTCCTAAGCAGTATTGAGTACATTGAATAATCACTCAAGCTCCTGGATACATCATGCTGATGGAGGTTTAATGAACCAGAAGTACCAGGTTGGCAGCCAGACGGAGCAGGTGGGTGACTCCCTGGTTCTCCGGGGACTCATAGCGACAGCCAGCTTTCACAAACACACCAATCCTGGAAGCCGGGGAGTAGTTGTCCAACGAGGCTATCACCAGACCGCTGGGCAGTTTAGTCACCTGGAAGAGAAATATCAGTTAGCATCACACCCACAGTGCCTTCAGGAAGTATTCATACCCCTTAACTTATTCCACAATTTCCTGTGTTACAGCTTGAATAATAAAATAACAAAAAATCTCACCCATCTACACACAATACTCCATGATGACAAAGTATTTTATTTTTATTGAAAATGAAATACAGAAATATTTAATCTAATATCTACTTACATAAGTATTCACACCCGAGTCAATACGTTAGAAGTACCTTTGGCAGCGATTGCAGCTGTGAGTCTTTCTGGGTAAGTCTAAGAGCTTTGCACACCTGGATTGTACAATATTTGCACATTATTATTTTCTATATTTGTTGGTTGGTTGTTGATAATTGCTAGACAGCCAATCTCAAGTTTTACCATAGCTTTTCAAGCCGATTTATGTCAAAACTGTAACTAGGCCTCTCAGGAACATTCAATGTCATCTTGGTAAGGAACATCAGTGTTTATTTGGCCTTGTGTTTTAGGTTATTGTCCTGCTAAAAGGTGAATTTGTCTCCCAGTGTCTGTTGGAAAGCAGACTGAACCATGCTTTCCTCTATGATTTTGCCTGTGCTTAGCTCTATTCTGTTTATTTCTATCCTAAAAAACTCCCTAGTCCTTGCCGATGACAAGCATACCCATAACATGATGCAGCCACCACCACGCTTGAAAATATGAACAGTGGTACTCAGTGATGTGTTGGATTAATTTCTTATTGCAAACAGGATGCATGTTTTGGAATATTTTTATTCTGTACAGGTTTCCTTCTTTTCACTCTGTAATTTAGTTTAGTATTGTGGAGTAACTACAATGTTGATCCATCCTCAGTTTTCTCCTATAAACAGCTATTAAACTAACTGTTTTAAAGTCACCATTGGCCTCATGGTGATCGGTTTCCTTCCTCTCCGGCAACTGAGTTAGGAAGGATGCCTGTATCTTTGTAGTGACTGGGTGTATTGATACACCATCCAAAGTGTAATTAATAACTTCACCCTGCTCAAAAGGGATATTCAATGTCTGCTTTTGAATTTTCTGCCCATCTACCAATAGGTGCTCTTCTTTGCGAGGCATTGTTAAACCTCCCTGGTCTTTGTGTTTTAAATTCACTGCTCGACTGAGGGACCTTACAGATAATTGTATGTGTGGGGTACAGAGATGAAGTTGTGGCGAAATCCTGCACGTTCACCGTTGTGATGTCACGAGAGGCTGTGTCCTGGAGGGACGTTACATCCCCCTGAGATGGCTGCAAACCCAGACAGCTATGGCTCCATCTGCTGGTATGGTCGGGAACTCCACCCCTCTATGGCCAATCTTCCCACGCAGCTGAAACAAATCAGGAGCTGATGAGCTGAAGGTTTTTGAAGGGAAGAGACACACTGAGAGGGAGTGTGTGGGTTGTGAAGAAACACAGTCTCCAACCTGGGCTCTCTGGAGGACAAGAGTGCTGCACGTCCACTTCCATGAGGAATATAAGGATTTGGAGATACTTACCTTTGGGAAATACTCACCTTTGGATATATTCGCCTGTGGAAATACGGGAGAGACATTTGGAAGGACTTTTTGCTGGGTTGGCCACTAGCTGCAACGTGGACTACAGTAAGGTTGGGGAAAAGTTATCTGAGCGAGTGAGAATTATGATTTTGGATGTGGAAGAGACATCCCTGAACTGTTAACCCTTAAAGAGCCACAAGAGAACAGAATTTTGTTATATTTTCGTTAATTTCCCAAGACCTTTAATAAAATCCTTGTTTTGTTTGAACCTTGTCTCCTTGCACTACTTGAGCAATCCCGCTGAAAGCTGTGTAGCCTCTCGTGACGTCACAGATGGTGGAGAATACGGGCAAGCTCAAGCGTTAATAGTGCATGTCAGAGGAGGATACCGAAGGTTTGATCACCCAGTTTTCCAAGTTGGCCGTAGGCTCCCCGCCGACTGAAATGGAGGACATATTGAAAGCCCTTGTTGCTGGCCAGCAAGCCCAGATGCAAGCAACCGTGGCTCTCTTGGAGGAGCAAAAGAAAGCCAACCTTCTGAAGGCAGAGGAATTGCAGTTGCAGAGACAGATGGTTGTCCAAAATACCCGCCCAATAAAGGCAAGTGACTTTATATCTAAGATGGGAGCTACCGATGACATTGAGGCATACCTGCATGCATTTGAGGCCACGGCCACTAGGGAAGCCTGGCCCAAGCAACAGTGGGTTGGTCTGTTAGCCCCCTTCCTAACCGGGGAATCGCTGAATGCTGTCCGGGACCTGGGCCCTGACCAGGTTACTGACTATGATGCCCTGAAGTCTGAGATCCTCAGCAGATATGGACTCACAAAGTTTGGTATGGCCCAGCGCTTTCACAGCTGGACCTTCCAACCAGACCAACCTCCTCGGGCGCAGATGCATGAACTTGTCCGAATCGCAAGGAAATGGCTGGATCCGCAGAGGAATACAGCAGCGGCGGTGGTGGAGGCCGTTGTGGTGGATCGTTACCTACGCGCCCTGCCTTATGAGGCAAAACGGTTCATCAGTCAACAGGCCTTGACCACGGCTGATCTGACCGTGGAAGCTGTGGAAAAGTACCAGGCCACAGCGGAGATGCTGAATGCTTCCCGAAAAGACCCCAGGAGTGCGCCCCCACCACAAATGGGAAGAACCCGTCCAAAGGACCCCAAGGTCTCGAACCCAGCCACGTCAGGACTTATCCCGGCTCCAGGGGGAGCCAGAAACCAGGCGGGTCCAAGAAGAGTACACCAGGAGGGGGAAACTCGACAGTGTTACCGGTGTGGGGAGATGGGACATATCTCCTGGCAGTGTGGGAAACCAGCCGATGAACCTATGCCCACTGCGGAGTCCTCCAGCTCAGCACCCACACACCGTTTTGCCTCGCTCTTGGGAGTCGTAGATGGCGGCCCAGATCGACCCCCCACCTGCCCGGTAACTGTGAATCACCATGATGTGGAGGCCTTACTAGATTCTGGTAGCCGGGCCACCCTGGTGCGTAAGGATTTGGTGGGCCCAACGTGTCTGACCCCGGGGAAAGTCCTCCCAGTTTCCTGTGTCCATGGAGACACCAGAGAATACCCCATTACTGAACTTACAATGACCAGCACACGGGGAACCATACACACGACGGCGGGGGTGGTTGATTCCCTCCCCGTCCCTGTCCTAATTGGACGAGACTGCCCAGCCTTTTACCCACTCTGGAGAGAGTCTCAGGAGAGGGTAACCCGAGTACCTCGGAAACGGAGAGGCTCTGATAGGGATGGCAGGTGCCCAGACCGACACAGAGACTGGTCCGGATACGGGAGAAGAGAACGCACTCCAGGAAAGTGCTCCGTTCTCCAGGGAAGAAGACGTCCCCGGCACCCAAGAGCTTCCCCCTCTCACAGGCCAGTATGGGCTGGCAAGCACCACGGCAATGCGGACGCCCTCTCCCGGCGTGATGCCTTCTTCGCTGCCTTTACCCCGACGAGGACGTCGGTCCCGAGGAGGGGGATGTGTGATGTCACGAGAGGCTGTGTCCTGGAGGGACGTTACATCCCCCTGAGATGGCTGCAAACCCAGACAGCTATGGCTCCATCTGCTGGTATGGTCGGGAACTCCACCCCTCTATGGCCAATCTTCCCACGCAGCTGAAACAAATCAGGAGCTGATGAGCTGAAGGTTTTTGAAGGGAAGAGACACACTGAGAGGGAGTGTGTGGGTTGTGAAGAAACACAGTCTCCAACCTGGGCTCTCTGGAGGACAAGAGTGCTGCACGTCCACTTCCATGAGGAATATAAGGATTTGGAGATACTTACCTTTGGGAAATACTCACCTTTGGATATATTCGCCTGTGGAAATACGGGAGAGACATTTGGAAGGACTTTTTGCTGGGTTGGCCACTAGCTGCAACGTGGACTACAGTAAGGTTGGGGAAAAGTTATCTGAGCGAGTGAGAATTATGATTTTGGATGTGGAAGAGACATCCCTGAACTGTTAACCCTTAAAGAGCCACAAGAGAACAGAATTTTGTTATATTTTCGTTAATTTCCCAAGACCTTTAATAAAATCCTTGTTTTGTTTGAACCTTGTCTCCTTGCACTACTTGAGCAATCCCGCTGAAAGCTGTGTAGCCTCTCGTGACGTCACACCGTGCACTGCCACTTTAAGAGTGCATCAGCTGTCAGGAAGGAGGAAGTAAAAATGGCTCGTCCGTCTCTGTGTGAGAGATCTCGGTTGGTGCAGCAGTTTTGACGGTGTGTGCAACTCTTTGCAGAAGTCTTGCTTGTTTTCGGCGTGCTTAGTTTGTAAAGTTAAGTCAAGTGTTACCGCTCTACTACGTGTTTGGAACCTGTGGGGATTGCTCGTCATTGATTTACTGGGTTACTGGCAACATTGTTGCAAAGCTTTAACCAACAAACCAACAGGTGTATCATCAACTAAGACCATAGCCCTCTGCCCCTCTCTCTCTCGCTTTTTCTGTGTTCAGTGCGGTTGGGAACTGTAAATGCACTGGTATTGACAATTGTGTTAAAGGGAGTGTGCGTTTGAGTATAGTGATTATATTTTTATTCTCTTTTTGGAGCTGTTTGATTGATTTATTGTCTATTGGCCTAAGAGACGTTGGGGCCATTTAAATAAATGTTTTGTTTTGAACTACACCTACACACACACACACACACACTCTCCCATTAATGTACCCAACTCCCTTTTTACTCTGTGTAAGGAATACAGATATTTGCAAATCATCTAATGATAACTGGGTTCGTTATTGTCTGGTGCCTCTATGAAATTGCCTCCGAGTTGTTCTATTAATGATTATTGTATGAGGTATTATTGGTTGGGTTCCCTCTGTGCTGTGACTTGTGGTCATATGGTGTGTCTTATCCTTTCTCTCAACTGGCTATCTGGAAAACAGGCTACACTCTAGGCAGTCTGTTCTGCTGATGTGTGTGTCTGGTAGCGGTACTCTCTATCCTGCCTATTAATGCACACAGAGTGAGTCCATGCAACTGAAGTGGCTTGTTAAGCAAATGTTTACTCCTGAACTTATTTAGGTTTGCCATAACAAAGGGGTTGAATACTTATTGACTCAAGACATTTCAGCTTTTCATTTTTTATTAATTTGTAAAAATGTCTAAAAATATAATTCCACTTTGACATTATGGAGTAGTGTGTCTGCCAGTGACACATCTCAATTTAATCAATTTTAAATTCAGGCTGTAACACAACAACATTTGGAAAAAGTCAAGGGGTGTGAATACTTTCCGAAGGCACTGTACATGGTGTGTTTTATGCAGTTAAGATATCACAAAATGTTAACAGAGCAGTGTAACACATCTTAGCTCTAGCTTCTGTTATAGCATGTTCACATAAAAAGGCAACAAATGGGTGGAAAGCAAAGCATCAAATTACAAATATGAAATGCCTTTTTGCTAGTTTTACTTGAACTATTACAAATGTAATCAGCGTGACATTTCACTGGGAGTTTGTAGCAGTACACAGAGATATTCTGTGGTATACTAAAAGCAGACCAATATCTCAAAGGACAAAAGGCCCATGTAAACACACTTTGGTTAGAGTAGGACAGATGACAGAATCTACACCCCCTAAATCGCTCCATCAGACCACCACATACATGGACATCCTGGTATGAGAGGGCAGCCCCTGTGGAGAATTTGAGGCCTGACAGAGGCCGAGTCAAGGGCTGGGCCTGGTTTCCCGATAGTGATGGAATTTAGGCTTGAGTGTTTTAACAATGCATCTTTCCTATAACAGCCAAAGATATAACTTGCGTTTCCCAAAACACCACGCCAAGAGAACAGTCGCAAAGTGAGTCATTGGTGCGTGTTTCGATACTGATAGGGTCGAAAGGGAGCGCTGCTCTCGGATCAGCTTTCTCCATTCAAATCTTACCTTAACATTATAATTATTTCAAAATACTGATGACAGATCAGCTCCTATACTAGGCCTACCACCTACGGCTGCAAATATTGAGGCAGCTTATTCTAATGCTTGACCAATAAAAATGCTCTAAATCACAGATTTGTCACATCATTGTGCACGTTAGGCTACACATCATGGAATATATTGAGACAAATTACAGACAGTAGCGCACAAGTACCAAAATATAACTCGATTGAACATGAAATGTAGCCTATTTTAATATGATTTAATGCATTCATCTCGGTTTTCATTTGAAGCATATTTTTATATGTTGCTTGTTTGTATAAATTGCAAAGACATTGGAAACGTTGTATTTGTAGTCAACTTTGTTCTGAAGTTATCAGCGGTCAGAGAGAGACTGATAAACCATGTGATTCTACGTTTAGCTGAGATCTTCTGTCTCTTTTGTGCATGAAGTGAAGCGGGAGGGCAGAAAAATAATCTAATTACGCACTCAGCTGTTCTTAATAACGATGGTTTTGGGAAACAGCTCAGAGATTTAACGATGCTCCATCAAAGGTTCTAATGATGAACTTTGCCTTAAGACGCTTTTGGGAAACCGGGCCCTGGTCTGTTCGGGTGGCCGCATAGAAACGTCTCTGTGAGGAAAGAGAAACATGTCAACACCCACTGACCTGCACATCCTGAGGCTGAAACGCTGCAACATCCAACTTACGGGCAGCCTGGGCTGCGTAAAGCCTAGTCTGTAATAGAGAAAAGATACAAGGTGACTTAATATCCTACTAGGGTTTTATGGTGGGTCTGGACTCTGGATAGAGAGAGCCAATTAGATGATTGAGAATCAGAGACAGAATTATGGTTGAATACTGGCTGGACCTTATGGTGGCACAGTGGTACAATATTCAAATGTTTAATAAAAAGGCACATTCCGTAGGTTCTGTTTCCATTCAACAGTGCAGCCCTGTCACTCGTTTGTTTTGGTTTTGGAGGACTGTGGAGGAGGGTCATGGCAAGTGCAAAATCAAAGAATAGGTATATTCATCATGTTGGACCAGGATGAAGCTTGAGCTAAACTTGGCTGTAAGGGGGAAATTAGCTTCCTAGAAAGTCTGCCTCCAGTTCAACCCATTCATAGACGCCAACTACCTTTAGCGCCTATTGACGATAGTATCTTCTGGCCGGGGGAATTTTGTTAAGAGTCCCGACGCTCGTTCTGAACGTTAAAACACATCGCTTACAGTACTGTTTTGGAAACATAAGGAACGTATCAGCGAGAAATAATTTTCAAAAAACTAAAGGTTAAATTACTACACACCTTTAAAGGGTTAGGGTAAGTGTTCAAGTGTTCCCACACGGCCATATCTCCATGTTACAGCGCTTGTTTACGGAAGACATACTGAAGACAGAGTACCACAGTATGAGTCATAATACCCATAAAACCTAGTGGTCAAACAAGGAAATGGTTCCAATCGTTTTTCCACCATTCATTTTTCCCATAGGGGATTTTGGAAACTTAAAATAAGGGCACGTTTTGATAACCGTGTAAATCTCTCTAGGGCAAGGTGACTTATCAATATATTCGCCTGTATTTACCCCCCCAAAATGAAATGATAGCTGCAAATGTGGCTATCATAAAGAACTACAAATGCAATCATGATCTGGACGAGGCTGCCGAATCGAGGCAAAGGTAAGAATCTCTGGATTAACTCATGTTAGCCAGTGGTGGAAAAAGTACCCAATTGTCATACTTAATAAAAAGTAAAGATACCTTAATAGAAAATTACAAGTAAAAGTGAAAGTCACCCAGTAAAATCCTACTTGAGTAAAAGTCAAAGTATTTGGTTTTAAATATACTTAAGTATCAAAAAGTAAAAATCATTTCAAATTCCTTATATTAAGCAAACCAGATGGCACCATTTTCTTATTTACGGCTAGCCAGGGGCACACTCCAACACTCAGACATCAACATCATTTACAAACGAAGCATGTGTTTAGTGAGTCCGCCAGATCAGAGGCAGTAGGATGACCAGGAATGTAAGTGTGTGAATTAGACAATTTTCCTGTCCTGCTAAGCATTCAAAATGTAACGAGTACTTTTGGGTGTCAGGGAAAATGTATGGAGTAGAAAGTACATAATTTTCTTTAGGAATGTAGTGAAGTAAAAGTAAAAGTTGTCAAATATAAATAGTAAAGTACAGATACCCCCCAAAAAACTGCTTAAGTAGTACTTTCAAGTATTTTTACTTAAGTACCTTACACCACTGATGTTAGCTAAATGTAGTAATGAATAAATTGGCTTTAAATTGACAATTCTTTGAACTGTCTTGTGCAAGTTTTAAATTGACACAATACTTGTTAGCAAAGGTGTCAGCTAGAGATGATGTGCAGGAGCTTGCAGGGATTTGTAGTCTTGCACGATGTCTACTTTGATGATTAGCATTTTTGAATCTGAGAGTAAATAGAGCCGAATATATTGATAAAAGTCACCTTGTACGAGAGACATTTACACGGTTATCAAAACTTCCCGCCAGGGTAAGCCTACACGAAACACAGTCCTTATTTGAAGTGTTTCTAAAATTCCCATTGGGAAAAATGAATGGTGGAAAAACGATTAGATCAATTTCCCTGTTTGACCACTAGGTTTTATGGGTATCATGACACCTCCACTGTGGGGCTCTATTGGTGGCCACCTGTACTAATTAGCTATCTAGCATGATCTGAACACCTGTGTGTAAGCATAACTGGGGAGGAAGTGTAGTTCGTCAACTGGAGGCACATACAGTGTATGGATCTGTGCAAAACTGCTACAGAAAGTATATATTTTTTAAATTTGAAATATGATCTATCGTTGATATGAAAGATAAGCGGCATATCAGCACGTTTCGCAAGTGATGATTATTGATGTTTTTAACATGCTGACCACACTGCTCGCATGCGATGCAAAATAAATGTACACATACATGTTATTCAATCATTGCACCCACACTGCTCACGTGCATCAACGAGCATCTGCATAGCCAGGCACTAAAATAGAACGCCTCTCCCATCTCCTCATTGGTTTTTAAGAGCATATACTAGGAGTGGGCGATATACCGGTTTGATAGTAAAAACCGGTATTGTGCCGCGCCATGATATGGATTTAGCAATATCATGGATACCGCGATTTATTCAGAATTCATAAATTCGAATTTTGCATCAATATTTTTTTGTTCCAAATTTCAACTGAGTGATAGTACTAAGTAGCTACATCTTTTTTTTTTTTTTTTTATCCAACCTTTCTTGGTTCTTACGAATAAAAGAATGTATGTTAATATGTTGACCTATTTTTATGAGCGCACGTCGCATGCACTTGTTGCACGCATGTAGTGCTAGCAACAAAGAAGTGTGCAGGCAGCTGCAGTTAGGAGGCAGGTTAACTATTGGGGGAAAACTTTACAATCCAGGATGAGCGAAAACACAGAAATTGATGTTGCTCAAGAGCAGGAGGATAAATTGGTTAAGAAGAAAGGGGGCACCTCTGTTGTTTGGAACTGGTTTGGCTTTAAAATCTCCGACCCCGACCAAAACACTACCCTATGCAAGTTGTGTCGTCGTGTTGTTTTAGCAAAAGGTGGAAACACGACCAACCTGTTCAATCACTTAAAAAACATACATGTCCGTGAGTATGAACAATGCACCAGAATGCGTGAGACAGTAAGCCCAGGAGCTCGCCCGAAGACAAGCCAGACTCGCACTCAACAATCAATTATATCATCATTTGCTGCCGGTACTTGCTATGAGAAGACGAGCAAAAAATGGATAGACATCACAGCTGCGATTACAAATCACATAGCGAAGGACATGGTACCGATTCAAACTGTGGAGAAAGAGGGGTTCAGAAAGTTGATTCAAACTCTGGACCCAAGATATGAGATCCCGAGCCGCAAATATTTTAGCCAAAAATGCCTGCCACAGCTTTACACAGAATGCTGGGACAGAGTTTACAGTGAGATAAATAACATTCCATTCTTCTCCACTACTGCCGATCTATGGTCAAGTCGTACCACAGAACCTTATATAAGCCTCACAATCCATTACATAGACGGTGACTGGAAACTGAAAAGTAAGTGCCTACAGACGTCTTATTTCCCAGACGACCACACCGGGGAAATAATTGCAGGTGGGCTGAGGGACATACTGTCGTCCTGGGGATTAAAAGAGTCGCGTCAAGTTTGTATGACGACCGACAGCGGATCGAACATGATCAAGGCATTGCAGCTGAACAAGTGGGCAAACCTTGGATGTTTCGGACACAGGCTGCACAATGCTATTGGTAAGTTTCAGGACTGTAGCCTAGGCCTACCCTGTATGATGCTTATTATTAAGAAAAAATACAGCTCACATCAGCCATGTACCGTAGGCTAAATCTAAGCACATCAGATTTGTAAAATGTGTAACAGTTGAATGTAAATGCCGTACATCCTCAAACAAAGATTAAAAGTTATATTGTATTGTGATTTCTATATAAAAATGCATTATTATTAATTATTATTGTATTGTGATTCGATTATTTTTCACCCTATTATTTTGATTTCTTATTCCCAATTTCCAGAGAGGAGTGTCCAAAACGCTCCCGGGCCACAGGGGTGTGCGATTTCCCGGGCCACAGGGGTTTGCAAAAAGGTGGTTAGCACGTTCTCATACAGCTGGAAAAAGCAGAAGGCCCTGATGACAGCACAGAATGAACTAAGCCTGCCCCTGCACAAGCTCATCACAGAATCTCCGACAAGGTGGGGATCTCGTCTGAAAATGATGGAAAGAGTCCTGGAGCAGGAAAAGGCCATTACACAGGTCCTGGCAGGGGACAAAAAGACACGGCACCTTGTACCTACCTGGCAAGACATCCAGGTCTTGGAATCAGTCACAGCAGCACTGAAGCCACTCCAGGACTTTACAGATGCCCTGTCAGGAGAAGCGTATGTGAGCGTGTCCTATTTGAAGCCTGTCATCAATCTGTTAAATGCAGAGGTTCTAAATCTGAGCAAGGACGATACAGAACTGACCAAAGAGATCAAGATCAAGGTTCTTGATTACTTGAATAACAAGTACACTGACCCTGCAACAGATGAGCTGCTCTCCATGGCTACCTTTCTAGATCCAAGGTTCAAGACCAGGTACATGTCCGCTGAGAAACTGGAGGACATTAAGGTATTTATTCATTTGTTCTTGTTTTATTGCTTCAAATGTAAAGCACTTTGGGCTGCATTTTATGTATGAAAGGTGCTATACAAATAAAGTTTAATTATTTTCATTTTTTAAGGTGAGAGCTGCCTCAGAGACCGAAGCCCTCCTGGTGGAGAACACAGCCCTGGGAAAATCGTCTCTTGCAGAGGATCACACTGACAGGGAGAAAGAAGCTTCCACTGCTCATCAATCAGGCAAGAAGCCCAAGAAGAGCCTTGGGAGCTTCTTTAAGCAGACCAGCAGTGCACCTGCCTCATGTTCAGAGAGGCAGATCATTGAGCAAGAGCTGAATAGCTACATTCTGGCAACGGCAGCAGACAGCGAGTCTGATCCTTTGGAGTGGTGGCGATTTCACGGATCTAATTTTCCACGTGTGAGTTGTCTGGCAAAGAAATACTTATGCATCCCTGCCACAAGTGCCCCCTCTGAGAGGGCATTCAGCACTGGGGGCAATGTGGTGACATGTCACAGGGCAGCACTAAAGCCAGAAACAGTCAACATGCTGGTATTCCTGGCACGGAACTTGTGAAGAAAGTTCTAGTGAAGATTTGTTGATATTGTTGATAATTGATGGTTGAGGCTTGAAAGGTTTAGTTTCAAACGGTTAGTTTTTTACATATCTACGGACCGTAGCCAAAACAAACACACGTATTTGAATTTGTAATTACCTTATTTTCTTTATCTCCTGTTATTTTTTATTTAATTTTACTTAATATCTAATTTATATATATATATATATATATATATATATAGGCCTACCTACCTCATGTTTACGGAATGCATGTTTGCACAATACAAATAAAAACTTTTCAGGTCCATACGGTCCAATGCCTCACTCTTTCTGGTTATATAAGGTTCAAATACATATTTTTCCTTAACTAATATAATTTAACCAAGAAGGGATATTAAAATGTGATTCATATTTTTTTACGTCATATATCGTGATATCATATCGATATCGTCTGGACAGTGGAAAATATCGTGATATGAATTTTAGCTCATATCGCCCACCCCTAGCATATACCCACTTGGGTGATTGAAAGATTAACTGAGGTCCACACTCCAGTCAGTGGTGGTGATGCACCTAAATTGGTTGCCAACCGCCATATAAAGTCCAAAGAAGAAGAACCCTGGAGGAGAGATTACTACAAACAAACTCGGTTTACCCTCTTATCTGTGGATTAATTGTCAGAGTAGAGGATGTTGTGCATTTCAGGCAAAATAACAACCCAATGTATATATCCCAGGACAAAATAGCTAGCAACAGCAAGCTAGCTAGCTAAATTGCCATAAATGTTTAATGCTTTTCGACCTGTCCCCAAATTAATATAGTTGCTTCAGAGTTTGTTTTGATATTTCAACCTGCATGTCCTGATTGCGTCTGGTGTGGGTGGACAAAATCAACATGCGCGCGGTCTGTGCAGAATGTAAAAGTTAAAACACAGCATCGGAATTTTAGTTCACGCGCAGCCAAACGTGGGTCGAAGCTAATTGCTGAAATCCCAATGGATAAGAAGGGGTTTTCGAGCGCTACCTCCAGTTGAATTTAGCTGATATCACAGCTATAGAGTGGCCTACATATAGGGGTATTATGTAACCCAGTTACTGTATGTGAGAGCGTGTCAGCAAAGTTTACTAATGTATTAGCTAGCTAGGAAACTTGATATGCATGATGAGAATGTTACGGTATTCATTGATATTGGAACTTTTTAAAACATATCAAAAGTTGTAACCATCATTACCAGTCAACTGAATGTAACGTTATGTCCTGATGAATTGACACACGTGTGTGCCAGCTACTTTAGACAGGTGGTGAGCCCTATAACTACCCTGGGTGAGACTGATAAACAACTGAACTGTTATCCTCTGCATCAGAGTTTCCCAAAAGGATCAAATCTTGATGATTTTTTGAATAAACTGAGTAGTGCTAGGACAAAAACTAAAATGTGCACCCCTTGGGGTCCCGAGGACCGAGATTGGGAAACCCATCTCTGCATGATCATGATCTTTTGATTGGACAGACCGCGAGGGAAGAATTTGACAACACTTTGACAGCAGGGAAAGAGTAGATGTCTTGTAGGTGTACAGATACAATTTGTGGAATATTTTTACGTAACGTTACATTAACCTCCACATTTTTCGACCCACTATCAAACGTTTAGGCTGGGTTTATCATCATCGTGTTAACGTTTGCTAGCCACCTAGTGACATCACACAATTTGTAGCGCGAGCGCTATTCTCGCCAACCAAGCCCTACAATCTACTACCGGATATCAAAAACGTCTCATGAATAATCAACTATTCAGACTTATGAAAATGGCAAAGGAGTTCTTACCGATAACTGACTTATTCCGCGAATCCCCTTCATCTCCCCTCTATCCTTAAACCAGCACAATGAAACAATATGGCTGACACGGGAATGTCCTACCCATAATTCCTAGCGCACCACATTCTTCCTCGGGGGTTTAAAACGTGCACGAACAAGTGTATTTTCCACCACTGTTTTAAATGTGTTAAACAACTTTTTATCTACCCTGCAGGATTCTACAAATATTGCCCACATTTTGTGAAAATGTACAACATGCATCAATGGAAAATACCTGTGGCACAAACCAAAGCAAAAAGAAGAACATGGGCGGGTCAAACAATTCACTTCCTTTCCAGTTTAGCAAGCAAAGCCCCCATGCGTTCCATGCTCAGTCCTACACACGTGTTGTTAGAGTAGCTGCGTGTTGAAGTTCCTCTAGCTTTTGAGAATCTAAACAAGCTGTTGTAGCTACAGAACGATTTATTTTTGGATTTCCCAAAACCTCAATCGCAGACGTATAGTCCTCCGTGAAGCATTCGCCGAGAGGAGAAATATCAGAAATAAACGGAAACAAACATGGTGAGTGTTTTTAATTAACAGCTTCAGTTAGCATTTCTAGCTAACGTTCGCTAACTACCTGAATACCGGTAATAACGTAGCTAGTTAACGTTACCTAATTGATGATAATGATAGCGTTATTTCGTTCTCATCTAGTCTCTACATCTTCTAACTGTTTTTGGGTTTGTTCTCAGACTGAAGCCGAAGTGAATCCCAAGGCCTACCCCCTGGCCGACGCCACACTTTCCAAAACCATTCTGGACCTTGTGCAGCAAGCCTCTAACTACAAACAGTTGAGGAAAGGGGCCAATGAGGGTGAGAGAATCAGACATATTGATAATATCAGTAATGTACTGTAAATATATTTTCTGTGACCACATTATACCAGCTTCTAAGACATCTGGTCCTATGGCACAGTACAGGAGGTTGTGTGTGTCTCTGACCAGAGGTTAGCTGATTCAAATCCTGCTCAGATTACCTCTTTAAACACTACAAAAGTTATCTATGGAGTTCTCATTCTGCGTTATAATCTATCAAAGACATATGTCACTAACCCTTGAATCTTGTCTACCCTCTTCTAGCCACCAAGACATTGAACCGTGGTATCTCTGAGTTCATTGTGATGGCTGCTGATGCTGAGCCACTGGAGATCATCCTCCACCTGCCACTGCTCTGCGAAGATAAGAACGTCCCCTACGTGTTTGTGCGCTCCAAGCAGGCCCTGGGGCGTGCCTGTGGGGTCTCCCGCCCCGTCATCGCCACCTCAATCACCATCAAGGAGGGCTCTCAGCTGAAGCCACAGATCCAGTCTACCCAGATGGCCATTGAGAGACTGCTGGTCTGATCTGGTTGCTGCTCTGTTGTATTGGATAGTCTGAAGGACTTTATCAGGCAGTTGAATTATGTCTTATTTTGGATAGTACAGTTGTCTTTGGAAGATGCATTGTCTACAAGTATCTATTTCTATTTTGTCAGGTACATTAAAATAAAATGATTCATTTCCATGTACTATGTTAAGTCATTAACTCTTATGTTTTGTGATAATAAAACATGTTTCTTTTTACTCGTGTGTTCTGTAATTGTATTCTTTCATTTTGTAAGTGCCAGAAGACTATTACATTTTAGTAATTTAGCAGACGCTCTTATCCAGAGCGACTTACAGTTAGTGAGTGCATACATTTTTCATACTGGCCCCCCGTGGGAATCGAACCCACAACCCTGGCGTTGCAAGCACCATGCTCTACCAACTGAGCTACAGGAGGTATAAAGTATGTGTATTCAAGAGAAATTGGTTGAGAACTTTTATGGAGGGATGAACCAACTAGAAAAATGTAAGTTCGTTATGAATGAATAGATCCTGTTTTTCTAGTTGGTTCAGCCCTCAATTTCTCTTGTATACAATATTGTTAGATGTTGAGCAAGTACCACATGTATGTTGCGGAACAGCAAGGCAAACGTTTTTTTGTTTAGGGACCCCTCATAAACTGACTGCAGAAAATATGTGCGCATTTGATGTTCTGTAGAGCGTTTTTAGAAGAATTCCAAGCGTTCACGCAAACATTTGGTGTGGTGTCTTGAACGCAGCCTCGGAGCTGGAATCATTTACCTAATACCGAGGTCACATTTCAGAAAAGTTGAACTTTAGGACTGATCATAAACTATCTGCACGCTTGAGTTGAGCAAAAGCTTTAGCCACCATGGCTGAGCCACCCGTTCTTATACGACAAGATGAGGTTGAAGGATTGTTGGATTATAAAGATTTGATCCCGCGACTTGAAGTAGCACTGGGGACGTTTTCCAAACGGGACAGCGCAGAAATGATCCAGCCCGTCCGTAGTACGGTCCCGTTACAAAAATACAATGGGTATGTTGATTCATTAATTCCCTTATTTATCATTGGTCGGTAATTTAGTAACAATACTGTTTAAAAAATGTCCGCCTAGATTCCTGGGGCTGATGCCTGCATATTTGGTGCATGAAGACATCCTGTGCACAAAGTTGGTGTGTTTTTACAACAGGGAGAGTGGGTCAACTCTGCCAACAACTCAAGCCACAGTGTTGCTGTTTGATCCTGAGTATGGGAACGTCAAAGCTGTGAGTATGCCTATGACTATTTAACAGTGGCTGTCGTAGTAAATATAATTTGTTGTACTTCCTCTTTTAATTTTGTGTTCACCAACATGGCCATTATATGTTATTTATCAGTTGTGACCACCCAGCCATACAAGCAGAGTCAAATAATTCAAGGATTTAGCACAGCTGGTTATAATAGAGGTCAATTCAGTTATAACATCTGTCTCAGTGTGGTTGACATCTGCAGGTCATGGATGGGGAGGTCATCACAGCCAAAAGGACAGCAGCAGTGTCTGCTATTTCTGCCAAAGTAAGGCCCTCTCCATGTGGCCTAGGCAAGCATGCATACACTCTTAATTGGGGATTGCTCACTACCTGTCAATAACTCTAACATTGTGCTGTTCTAATTTTGGAATGTTTGGAACCCCCCTTGGAACTGTCCAGCTGTTGATGCCAGCCCAGTCGGAGGTGTTGACCATACTGGGAGCTGGCCATCAGGCCCTCAGCCACTACAACGTCTTCACAGAAACCTTCTCCTTTAAAGAGGTACCAGAGTGATTCAGTGTTTCTGAATGGGTGATTAGAGAGACCCACTGGTGTGTGGCTATATCCTCCAGACATAAGACTTGGTTCTGGTTAGAAATATCTTGTTGTGGGTCATGAGAAAATATCAAAGGCCATTGAGGGATCACATCATTACAGGTCCGTGTGTGGAGCAGGAGGAAAGAGTCGGCGGAGAGGTTTGCCCAGTCCACCCAGGGTCATGTTACAGTATGTGAGTCAGTGGAGGAGGCAGTGAATGGGGCAGACGTCATAGTCACTGTGACTAAGGCCATTGAACCAGTGCTCTTTGGCCAGTGGGTCAAGCCAGGTGCCCATGTAGCAGGTGAGGAGACTCCTGACTGAAGATGATAGTGCCATGCCTTGACATAAGATTTTGATGTGTGTAGATAACATACTGTAATGGCACTGCCATCTCTCTCTTTGGTCTTAATGTAATGTGTCATTGCTGTGTGTGCGCGTGGTAGCTGTGGGAGCCTGCAGGCCAGACTGGAGGGAGCTGGATGATGTGTTGATGAGGCAGGCTGAGGTGTATGTGGACAGCAGAGAGGGAGCTGTAGCAGAGTCAGGAGATATCATCCTGTCTGGGGTAGGTTGTGAGAATAGTTCAAATGGTTATTGGTATTCTGTTTCTGGGTTTCTTCCAGTTGTGCCTACTGAATGCAATCTTGGTTTATGGTAGTAATAAAAGTAGGCATCCCAATTAAAGGATACATATGCTTTAACATGATTTGGTGTGCTAATGAATACTTCATCTCCAGGCCAAAGTGTTTGCAGAGCTTGGAGAGGTTCTCAATGGAACAAGACCTGCCCATAGAGAGAAGACCACTGTGTTCAAATCCCTTGGTAGATCGTCTTACTTTATCCTCTATTCAAATCCTGTAACATGTTCCTCCATTGTACTTAAAAGTTTTATTGATCCCGTTTGTATACAACAGGAATGGGGATTCAAGATGCAGTCTCTGCCAAGCTTGTGTTTGAACAGTGGAAGAGCAAATACTGAAGACCTGTGGAGGATAATGGGATGGCCATGAATGTGATCACTTACATTCCCACCAGTTCTTTAAAGGAGTAGGTGGAAAGATATTGGGAGTTGAAGCACATTCCTACATCTGCACAACAGAATGTAAAAAACAGACAATAGGCAGAGATTTTAAATGAATTTATTGGCTTTAAAAAAAATAATCAGCAGATGAACTACTATATTATCATGTCAAAATAAAACCACATTTAGCCAGAAGAAAAATCAAGTGTATCATTTCTTTCATTGTGCCGTTAACACTGGTAATAGCTCAGAACAACAGCCTCACTCAGTTCAAATTAAAAATAATACTTTGAAAATAGTCACTGGTAGGTATATCACTGAACTACTGTATATTTTAAATACAGCAATTATAAGCTACAGTATAACAGACAAAGAACACATGGTCAGTTCAACTTCTTCTGAATTATTTTAAATTGCTCAGTTCTTAGTGAGATACAGTCATAGGTTAGCATGGTTGCAGTCTCTGTTCAGCTATTACATTCCAGTCATTGCCACTCCTGCCATCGGCCAAATGGAAGGAGTGGCAAGGAGTGGAATGTTCGCTAAAAAGACCGGTTCCCAGACTAGTAATAGGTAGCTCTGATGACGTTTACATAGCATCATGATGTTAATGATGACAAAGCTTAATGTTAAAACGAGTTCACGACAACTACGTTTCGAGTAGCAAACAAACTCCAGATTCTTCACACTAGAACTAGACCTTTGTAAAGGACTGGATAGATGGCAACTGCTGACAGAATCAGTTCTTAAAGGGAATGAAGTTGAATACAAGCCTAGATTCTACCGTATAACAAACAGGGCCTATAACAAAAAAGTTATGACGCACGCAGGTGTTTGGAGTGTAAAGCTGACAGACTACACACTACAGTTCCATTACTAACAATACTCGTACGATGGATGTATTTTGTGTTTATGTACAGAAAACACAGTTTGTGAAACCGTTGTTTAATCCAACAAGAGGGATCCATCTAAATTGGTCTGATAAAGAACCATTCTCCATCCTCTTTCTGACTAACAGGTTCTCCTATACATATTTTCTATAGACACCTGTAGAATGTAAAATACTGGATATTTTCTCAGATCAAGGGGGAGCACCAAGTACTGTAAGTGGATATTTAGCTGGATCTAATAAGCATTTAATCCAACTAGGTATAAAGTGATAGCTATTATCCATTATTGACAGTTGTTTTGACGATTTATTTGAGGATGGATAAAATCCACCTGACGAGAAAAGTTTTATCTAAATTCACTTGATCTACATAGAGTATGACTATAGAACATAGACGATACTACTACAACACTATGCTTTTTTTAATTTTTTGAGTTTACTTCCATTTCTCTTGAACTATTTAAAACGTTCTTTTAAGATTTAGTAAATGATGGTCGCACATCTGGTACAAAAGAGAAAAAACACAAGAATAAGAAGAAATCATTCCATTTAGTGTTCATGGAGCTACTAGAAAGTGATGACCATTATATGCGGTAGGAATTTTGGCAACACCTCAATTCTACACAATTGATTGAAGTCTGTAAACAAACAATATGGACTCTTGAGAAGAGTGGAAAGAGACAAAAATTGAAAAGAGCAATTAGTATTATCTTCCAGGAACATAAAAAAACAAGTACATTTTTTAGAAGGCAGCAGGAATTTCACAAAGCTCTAATTCTAGGATTTGTATAATAAAATCAATCATATTTAAGTACTATGTACTAAAAAAATGACATCTGGATACTTTTTGTAGAATCCTCCCCCTTCCTCCTAAGACACTCCCCCACCCTCTTCTTCTTCCTCCCCCCAACCAACAGGTGAGCTCAGACTGCAGTGTGACTTCCTCCTTCCTGTCTGGAGCGTTTAGAGTAGTGAGCACTTCCTCTTCCTCTTCTTGACGGGCGGGGGACACAAGACCGCCCGGATGGCTTCGTCAAACACTGTCTTAAGGCCACGCTGTGTCAAAGCTGAGCATTCCAGGTACTTTACTGCTCCTGTAGAGGAGACACAGGCCGGCATTCAACGTCACAGCAAATGGGGATTTCATTCATTAAAATCCTAAATTGAATAATAGCTATGACTACCCCATCCGGATCCAAATTAAGCTACCGAGAAACTCCATTGACATTGCTGTGTAGTCCAGTAATAGGCTTACTCTTCGTCCGGGAAACCGGACCCTAAAGTACTGCTAAGAAGCAAGTAAGCCTTGTCCGAGCCAGAACAGCTCATAGGACAGGAGCCTATCTGTTGTTTTTGTAGCGTGAGGCAGCTTGATGTACAAGTACACCTCCTAGACAGGACACTAAAGTACTATTAGTATACTAACCAATCTCTTTTGCCATGGCCAGGCCCTGGGGGTAGGTGATGGGGGTGAGTTTCTTCTCCTTCAGCTTCTCGATGGTGTCCTTGTCGTCTCTCAGATCCAGCTTGGTGCCCACCAGGATGATTGGGGTGTTGGGGCAGTGGTGTCTCACCTCTGGGTACCACTATGGAGGACAGGGACAAGACAGTCAGGATAGGATCAGGACGTTACTGTAGACTAGAGGCCTATCTATCAAAATCCACCCTCACAAGTAATGACCATGTTGATAACTTAATGCTTAATGCATAAACGAAAAAGAAACAAAGCAGAGACTATGGCTCACCTTGGCACGGACGTTTTCAAAGGAGGCAGGACTCACGAGAGAGAAACAGATCAAAAACACATCCTGTTGGGGAGGAAACAACCAGCATTATATATTTGGTCATACGAATACAGCATTACAAGATCAACCATAAAAAAATAGAAGGTTACAATTTATGGAGATGAATGTTTTGTAGCTATGAATGGTACAAACAAACCATACATGACAGACAGAGTTCATGAACGTCCTCAATTCACTGCAATACAACTTAACTGTTATCTAGGAGGATAAAGTTTCCCTGAACACTGTCAATTGCCGGGAGGAGTCACAGAGTCCAGAATGTGGGGCAGACAGAGCACTCTTTCACTTCCTTAATGTCTGCTCCAGACATTGTTTTAGTACTGTGGACAGAGGGCTGTACTCTCCTCCTCATACATACAGACCTCTGAACCATAATAAATGCTCAATGTTGGCTCATAGTTTTATATGCCGAATATAAATGCTCAATGTTGCCAACACAATGCAATACGCCTTTCCCTAACACCCTGAAGAACTTGTTATATTATTCACAATGTTGTAGGGATTGATTCTTTATGCAGAGCTGACAGCAATTTTTAGAACGCTTTTAAAACACTGAAGCCAAACGCGGAAACAATGGGTATAACTTCCTCCGTGCTCACCTATTATGATAATCCATATGCGCGCCACTAGAAATCCCTGCATTAGCATGTTTCTGTTAGCCAATACATCCCGACAAAATACACCATATTACTAGCCTGCTAATGTGCCTGGACCTTGTAGGCTAAACTGCAGAGAAAATACCCATAACTGATCCAAATGGTTGTCCAATAAGGCAAGCTAGATGCAGTTATCTTTCTAAATGAATATGCATGCAAAACAACAGGCTTTTGAGCGGTTATTGAAATAACAAATGGCAAATCACGGCAGTTCACAGTCTAGACTGAGTTTTATACCTCACTTGAAAACAAGAATATTCTTCATTACATTGTGTTGTACATTTCTTGTCCCTAAAAAACTGAATCAATAGGGTATCTTTTGGAGCTGCGTGCCCAGGGACTGGGAGCGCACATCGTGTAGGCTGTGTGCGCTCCCGAGGCTGCGTTATCTGCTAACTTTTTTTTCTTTCACTGTGTAAATTGACTGTATATATTCACTGCAGTATGAAGCCTAACATTGAGCTGATGAATTAAGGACTTCTAACTTAAGCTATAGGCTACATCTTGAGCCGGTCTGTCTTCATTGATCTGTTGCGCAATTACACACCTGGCCCTGCCGCTGCCTCGGCTATTCCTCTTTAAATCTTGTAGAGTCCCTGAAAAAGCCAGACTACAAAAGCTTGGACACTTATTTTCTTTACTAATAGCCTATTGGAGGAGAGATGCATGCTTGCTCTCGCTTGCTGAATGTAAAATAGGCTACAGCATTAAGAATGGGCAGGGAGTTGGAAAGGACAAGCCCATATTTTCCTAGTAGGCCTATCTTAACACTGATAGGCTACATCCTGCCAAAATACAAATTTCAGTCATTTAGCAGACGCTCTTATCCAGAGCCACTTACAGTTAGTGCATACAGTTTTTTAGTTTTTAGTTTTCATACTGGCCCCCCGTGGGAATCGAACCCACAACCCTGGCGTTGCAAACGCCATGCTCTACCAACTGAGCTACATCCCTGCCGGCCATTCCCTCCCTTACCCTGGACGACGCTGGGCCAATTGTGCGCCACCCCATGGGTCTCCCGGTCGCGGCCGGCTACTACAGAGCCTGGATACACCATATGAGTCGCCTGCTAATGTACCTTTCTAGATCTTCTAAACTGTCGAGAATAGACCCCATCTGATCCAAAATGTTGCATAATCAGGCCTAGGCTGTATGCAGTTATTTCGGCATGAAACAAAACAGGACACTTGAGCGGTTATTCAAATTAGCCTATATCACTGCAGTTTACAGTCTATAGACAATAATTGTGTACTCACTTGATAACAATAATACATTCCTCATTGCACTGTGTTGTTGTAGCCCAGGTAGAATAATTTTGTCAAAAAATGTAGCCCTAATCAATAGTGGAGCTTTGCATCCCCGGGGACCACAGAGGGTAGCCTGGAGGTACCCACAGATCTGCCATTTCATATAATCTGTTAATTTATTTTTCTTGCACTTTGACAGGTAAATATTTATCCTATAGCCCTAATATTTAGCTAATGAATGGCCTAATATCTACCTTCTTACTTCGGCTGCACATCAGATATCACTAGCCTCTCTTTTCCAGCTGTTTCCATGTGCAATAGGCTATGCATGCCTCTCCACAATAGCCATTCCTCTTCTCGTGAAATCCCAGGAAAAGCTATAGGATATTTATTTTGATCATTTTTTATACTAGGCCTAACAGCCTATTAGGGGAAAGAAGCAGGCTTACTCTTGCTAATTGCTGAATGTAAAACAGGCCTACAGTTGAGGTGAGGAAGTGCGTTGGAGTGATCACTTTTGGCCATTTATGATAACATTGTTGCACTGACGCATTGCAAATTGTTGCACAGGACAGACAGAGAGATGACCACAGTGAAAAAGAAGACCCAAACAAATTGACAACCGTTAGAAAATTGCCAATCACTTGCAAACCACTTGAGGAACGAGCCAATGACATGCTGTAAAATATGTGCAGGCTAAACGGCATTTGTTGTTGAATTGCTACATTTAAAAATGGCCTACATGTACATTGATGTATTATTTGCAGTTGTCACTAAGACAATGAAAACAACCTGAAAGCACTGAATGGTCGTGTTAACATCTTTTTAATAGGCAGCGTGCAGTACGATGTGTTGATCAGTTGATTGACAGTTGTAGGACTGTAGAACGATAAACTTTGTGGGTGCTCACCAATGTTTTTTAGTTATGTAGCCTATAGCTTATCGTTATAGTTATTGGTTTGGTGGATGGCCCTTAACTCTGACACAACTAACGTTATTATCGCAACAGAACAACTAGTAGGTCTAGCTAACGTTAGTGAACTTGAATGAAATATAATATATAAAATTACACTTGTTGACTTTACTTTTATACTCTATAAATTGACTCCTTCAAATAATTTACTCCGCCAAGTTTGCAACCGGCGCACTGCAGCCTATAGGTAGCCTAGCGTCAGGTAGCCTAGCGGTTAAGAGCGTTGGGCCAGTTACGGAAAGGTTGCTGGTTTGAATCCCCGAGCCAACTAGGTGAAAAATCAGCCGATGTGCCCTTGAGCAAGGCACATAACCCTAATTGCTCCTGTAAATCGCTCTGGATTAGAGCGTCTGCGAAATGACTAAAATATAAAATGTAAAGTAAAGCGTAAGTCAAATCCCATCACTTCCGTTGTTTCGCTGTGCCCATAGAAACGCTCGAAAATTAGGTGGATACTTTGAGATGCAAAAAGTCACTTGACAATCTTCATTGCTTACACTAGTGACCTAAAGAGGACACAGTACATTTATCCTGTTGTTTTACCGTTTGTGGATAGGACAGTGGTCTGAGTCTGTCGTAGTCTTCCTGTCCTGCTGTATCCCATAGACCCAGATTCACTGGTTTCCCATCTACCATCACATTGGCAGAGTAGTTGTCAAAGCTATAGAGAGAGATACATGTTATACCACATTGACATCATCAGGGATGTGATCAGCACACCACCAGGAAATAAAGGCAACCAGTACATTTCAATGATTCGACAGGCCAAATATAGAATGTCCTGATCATCAGGAAAGGGTTAAACAACCACATCTCTGATTATAAAATGTAAACATTCTATGTTTCTAGTGTGGGGCACCTTCTGCGATGGGGGAGTGGTGGGGGGGAGAGATAGAGAGAGAGTATGTACTTACACTGTGGGGATGTATTCCCCGGGGAACGCGTTGGTGGTGTAGCTGATGAGCAGGCATGTTTTACCCACAGCTCTGGAGGAGAGAAGCATAGAGAGATGGAGGGATGAGGAGGAGAAATAAACCACTTGGTTTTTGTTTTGTTTATGTCAATTTCAAAACTGAAAGTAGAACTTGGATGGTGTGTAACTGGCCAACTTGAGACAATGCATTAAACTGAATAATGTCTGCATTATCCAGTAAGACTGTGGGGAGCTTTGTTGTGTTCCAATGTTGAGGTTTCTCTCTACAAAAGGGACATATTACCAGCATTGCGTGAGAATGACACATTTGAGTCCCAATCACAATGTCCTAAATAAGGTTGGATGGTGGAGCTCATCAAGAACAGGCAGCAGACATTTAGGGTGGGTTGCACCATCATGGATAACTCTTAAACTGGGGTAAATCAAGGTTTATCTATAAATCTTGTTGCACCAAACTTGAAACCTCATTTTAAATTAATTGTAGTTAAATGTAATGCTCCTTCTGAACAAAGTTTAATTTAGACTTTAAACCAAGATCAAATGTAATCTTGTTGCTCCATTGTTTTAAAGTCAAATGTAAATGTAGTTTAGGGATTCAATCTAAACTGCCACTGAAGGATGTTTATGTTTATCAAATGTCAGTGTATGTGCTGTATTTTTGGTGTGACTAACAATTTCAGCTCCAGTGGCTTATCATGTTTGTAAACTCAACTAGCCAGCTAACAAATTTCACAAAAAATGCAATTAATTGCATAATTTAGTCTGGAAGTGAAAACTCACTTTGCTAGCTATCTAGCAAACTCGCAATGACCAGTGCTGGTTTGTTTCCATATAAATAAAATTAGAACATATTGCTATGTTGAAAGTATTATGACACCTGTCACTAATCATAGATTAGTGATTTAACCTTAGATGAACTAATCAAGGTTTCAAATTAAACATGCACTATGCAGAAATCCATCCGCCATTTCCTGGTTGCTAAATTTCAAGTTTGCCTAATTTCAGTTTATGTGACAAAACAAGCAAGTATACTGTAGATAATCATTGTACCATATAAACCGCTGTGAAATATATTTTCCATAACCACAAATATTGTATTTTCAGCTGGATGAAGCTGGTGTACAAAACAGAAAGTAAAAGACAAAAACGAAACTTAACGGGCAGCATAGAAATAGCGCACATAGAACATATCTATCGCTTTTTAGACCTGCTTTCAATGAGAATGACAGATCTATAACTCACATTTCTATGTAGATTTGGTGGGGTTGCCCAAAAAGTTACATACTGCAGCTTTAAGTGGTGCAACACATTAATTAGCTAGCTATAAACCTAGATTTACAAAATCTAAGTTAGATCTAATCTAAGATCCATTTAAACCATGTTGGGGCAACCCACCCTAAAGGATTGTTAGCTAGTTAAGCACAATTTAATAACTAATAATCATAATAATAATAATAATAATAATAACAATAATTTGGTGGGTGCTAATAATTTCAGTGCGTATTAATACGCATGTGTGAATTGGAAATGTGATTTTTCCATATCCCACTCTGAGAAAACAGTGCATACAGCTGCTTTATCTAACTAGCCATAAACAGCAAACGAGAATGCAGAACACTAGTTAAGCTAAGTTAGCATGCCATAACAACTTTACAGACAAATGTGTTAGCAAGCTGGAAACAGTGACAACAGTTGTCACCAGTTAGCTAGCAAGGTAACAAGCAAACTATGGGCTTATAGAGACAATGATTTGATATTATAATTAATATATCATAGCTAACTAGACTAATGTAGGTTCAACTTACCCGTCCCCCACTACAACACACTTGATGGCCTGCATCTGAAGCCTCTCTCAACTAGCAAGCTAGCTAGCTAAAATAGTAGCTTATCGGTTAGCTGGTAAACCACTCTTTTGTTACCCCAACGGGGAAAAACAAGGTTTGAAGCCTCGATTGGAGGCCCCAAGTTACGATAGTTTGTAAATTAGGAGAATTCCCTCAAATCAGTGTCCTCAACAATAACTTGGTGGAATTCCAAACTTGTAAAAACAAGCAGCCACCACCCAAAAATCTCTGGTGCTAAGCTAGAAAAAACGCCCTCAGACAACGGAAGCTGTAGCTCCCATTCCATGCAAGTCATTTCCGTTTTACCGTAGATTGGATAGAGGAATTTTCAAAGGGCTGTCAAGCGACGCCACCTAGCGGTAAATATAATATGTCTACAGCCACTTTTAGGTTCTGAAAGTTATAGGGCAGTATTCCCTCATCATTTGAATGTTGTAAAGATTTAAAGGAGGCAGGCATCATATGAGACGAGACAGTCAAGACAAGTCAAGATGCAAAACTTTGGGTGTTATGATTTCATCAATCCGGAACTTTGTCATGGTTGTCCTGTGTTTTATCCTTAGAAAAAGTATGTGTTTATCCACATTTATATAGATGACAAATTGCATCTTATCTAAATTGGCAATGGCACCATACATATTAAAAGGGAGTTTATCCTCTGCTGACTGTGGATCCATGTTGTAAGACATCTGAGTAAGACAGTATAAAACCAGTTAAGCTGTAATTTTGAGCTCTCTCTCTCTCGCGCACGCTATCTGTCTCTCTCCCTCCCCTGTCTCTCTCATTCTCTCATCCACCCCCCCCCCCCCCCCTTCTCAGCAAAACTATTAAAGTGGCTTGAGTTCATCTTTAATTCATCAGTCTCCATAGTAACTCAAACCCTGTCCCCCCCATCCCCATGTACACTGAAAACAAATATAAACGTCACATGCAACAATTTCAAAGATTTTACTGAGTTATCAGTCAATTGAAACAAAAACTTTACTTATGCAGGAAAATAAAAGTAAGGCATGTGATGTATCAGAAATTGGGTAATGGAATTATAGTAAATCTAAAATATACAGGTTTTATACACATTTTCTGTATAAATAGCCTTTAAAATATATGTAAACAGACCATGAATGGCTCAGCTTTTGTTTTCTTGGAAAGCTGTGAGTGCTATTATATGATACAATATCAGTACTTGTTGCATTTACAACTTTTCTAAGTCCTTTCATCAACTGATTTGAGCCACTGTATGGCTGTGGATTAACTGCATTGTTTGAATGGAATGTTGGCATATTGGCAGTTAATTTGAAAAATTTATGGAATCATTCCTCTAAAACTGTCTGGCTAGCTAAAACACATACAATGCAGATAAATTCTTCACATTCATTGTTTTACACAATATCTTATCACAGCACTGGCAAACCGTGATTGACCAACTCCCTGACCAACATGGCTGACCTCTGGACCACCATAAAAAGGTTCATGTCCATTCTATATTCTAATTCCTAATTCTATGTTTATACCCCTCATCGGAATAGTGCAGGAAGGATTATGTTATTGGGGGATTTTGAAGGGATTGACATATTAATAGGATAGACAACAACATTAAGTGGTGGGTAAAAGCAGAGGAAAGGGATTAATGCAGGATAAACATGCTTGTCACAGAGACTAGGGGCCAGCACTAGCACTAACACACAGATGTGTCCCAATGGAAATGTGGAGCCATGGAGCCATGGAAGACACTCAAAGAGTAATTGTGTGGGGTTTGTGTAGAATCAGTGGGTGTTAGTAACTTTTTTAATGAAGACCTGTTAGATGCACTACATCACAGAACATCTCTACCTCTGCATATAGATATATTTATTTATACTGTAAATTGTATATTCCTCACTGTAAATTCGCTCATACTCTACAGTTCTATGTCGACTTATCTATTTTGTATATAATATCCGTAAACTTTGTGTACATTTCTCTGTCTGTTTCTGCGTCTATATGTTGTCAATTGCTAGCAGCACCATATCATAAGTAAAATTCTGGGTATGTGAATAAAAGTGATTCTGATTTTGATCCTGATGCAAAGATAGGCTTCTCTGATAAATCTTTGGAAAGCTACTGAATATATCAAATCAAATCAAATTTTATTGGTCACATGCGCCGAATACAACAGGTGCAGACATTACAGTGAAATGCTTACTTACAGCCCTTAACCAACAGTGCATTTATTTTTAACAAAAAAAGTGTTGAGAAAAAAAGAGCAGAAGTAAAATAAAATAACAGTAGGGAGGCTATATACAGTCATGGCCAAAATTGTTGGCACCCCTGAAATTTTTCCAGAAAATGAAGTATTTCTCACAGAAAAGTATTGAAATTACACATGTTTTGCTATGCACATGTTTATTTCCTTTGTGTGTATTGGAATAACACAAAAAAAACAGGAAAAAAGCAAATTTGACATAATTTCACACAAAACTCAAAAAATGGGCCGGACAAAATGATTGGCACCCTTAACTTAATATTTAGTTGCACACCCTTTGGAAAAAATAACTGAAATCAGTCGCTTCCTATAACCATCAATAAGCTTCTTACACCTCTCACCCGGAATTTTGGACCACTCTTCTTTTGCAAACTGCTCCAGGTCTCTCATATTGGATGGGTGCCTTTTCCCAACAGCAATTTTAAGATCTCTCCACAGGTGTTCAATGGGATTAAGATCTGGACTCATTGCTGGCCACTTCAGAACTCTCCAGCGCTTTGTTGCCATCCATTTCTGGGTGCTTTTTGAAGTATGTTTGGGGTCATTGTCCTGCTGGAAGACCCATGATCTCGGACGCAAACCCAGCTTTCTGACACTGGGCCCTACATTGCGACCCAAAATCCTTTGGTAATCCTCAGATTTCATGATGCCTTGCACACAGTCAAGGCACCCAGTGCCAGAGGCAGCAAAACAACCCCAAAACATCTTTGAACCTCCACCATATTTGACTGTAGGTACTGTGTTCTTTTCTTTGAAGGCTTCATTACATTTTCGGTAAACAGTAGAACGATGTGCTTTACCAAAAAGCTCTATCTTGGTCTCATCTGTCCATAAGACGTTCTCCCAGAAGGAATTTGGCTTACTCATGTACATTTTGGCAAACTGTAGTCTTGCTTTTTTATGTCTCTGTGTCAGCAGTGGGGTCCTCCTGGGTCTCCTGCCATAGCGTTTCATTTCATTCAAATTTCGACGTATAGTTCGCGCTGACACTGATGCACCCTGAGCCTGCAGGACAGCTTGAATTTCTTTGGAACTTGTTTGGGGCTGCTTATCCACCATCCGGACTATCCTGCGTTGCAACCTTTCATCAATTTTTCTCTTCCGTCCACGTCCAGGGAGATTAGCTACAGTGCCATGGGTTGCAAACTTCTTGATCATGTTGCGCACTGTGGACAAAGGAACATCTAGATCTCTGGAGATGGACTTGTAACCTTGAGATTGTTGATATTTTTCCACAATTTTGGTTCTCAAGTCCTCAGACAGTTCTCTTTTCCTCTTTCTGTTCTCCATGCTTAGTGTGGCACACACAGAAACACAATGCAAAGACTGAGTCAACTTCTCTCCTTTTTATCTGCTTTCAGGTGTGATTTTTAGATTGCCCACACCTGTTACTTGCCCCAGGTGAGTTTAAAGGAGCATCACATGCTTGGAACAAACTTATTTATCCACAATTTTGAAAGGGTGCCAATAACTTTGTCCGGCCCATTTTTTTAGTTTTGTGTGAAATTATGTCAAATTTGCTTTTTTCCTGTTTTTTTTTGTGTTATTCCAATACACACAAAGGAAATAAACATGTGCATAGCAAAACATGTGTAATTTCAATACTTTTCTGTGAGAAATACTTCATTTTCTGGAAAAATTTCAGGGGTGCCAACAATTTTGGCCATGACTGTATACAGGGGGGTACCGGTGCAGAGTCAATGTGCGGGGGCACCGGCTAGTTGAGATAGTTGAAGTAATATGTACATGTGGGAAGAGTTAAAGTGACTATGCATAAATAATTAACAGAGTAGCAGCAGCGTAAAAAGGATGGGGTGGGGGGGGGGGCAGTGCAAATAGTCCGGGTAGCCATGATTAGCTGTTCAGGAGTCTTATGGCTTGGGGGTAGAAGCTGTTGAGAAGTCTTTTGGACCAAGACTTGGCACTCCGGTACCGCTTGCCGTGCGGTAGCAGGGAGAACAGTCTATGACTAGGGTGGCTGGAGTCTTTGACAATTTTGAGGGCCTTCCTCTGACACCGCCTGGTATAGAGGTCCTGGATGGCAGGAAGCTTGGCCCCAGTGATGTACTGGGCCGTACACACTACCCTCTGTAGTGCCTTGCGGTCGGAGGCCAAGCAGTTGCCATACCAGGCGGTGATGCAACCAGTCAGGATGCTCTCGATGGTGCAGAATTTTTTGAGGATCTGAGGACCCATGCCAAATCTTTTCAGTCTCCTGAGGGGGAATAGGCTTTGTCGTGCCCTCTTCACGACTGTCTTGGTGTGTTTGGACCATGATAGTTCGTTGGTGATGTGGACTTGAAGCTCTCAACCTGTTCCACTACAGCCCCGTCGATGAGAATGGGGGCGTGCTCAGTCCTCTTTTTTTTCCTGTAGTCCACAATCATCTCCTTTGTCTTGGTCACGTTGAGGGAGAGGTTGTTGTCCTGGCACCACACGGCCAGGTCTCTGACCTCCTCCCTATAGGCTGTCTCATCGTTGTCGGTGATCAGGCCTACCACTGTTGTGTCGTCGGCAAACTTAATGATGGTGTTGGAGTCGTGCCTGGCCATGCAGTCATGGGTGAACAGAGAGTACAGGAGGGGACTGAGCACGCACCCCTGAGGGGCCCCCGTGTTGAGGATCAGTGTGGCAGATGTGTTGTTACCTACCCTTACCACCTGGGGGCGGCCTGTCAGGAAGTCCAGGATCCAGTTGCAGAGGGAGGTGTTTAGTCCCAGGATCCTTAGCTTAGTGATGAGCTTAGAGGGCACT